GTCCCGCACACGGCCTCTCCCTGTCCCCTCCCCTCCTCTCTTCTTTCCTTTCTCTTTTCCTAATTGCTTTCCTTTTTCGTTTCCTTTTTCTTTCTTTTCCTTTTTCCTGTCCTTTTTCTCCATCCTTCCCTTCCCTTCCCTTTCCCTCTCCCTCCTTCCCTCCCTCCTCTCCTTCTTCTTTGTGTCTTCTCTTCTTTATTTTTTGAGACAGAGTCTCGCTCTGTCGCCGGGTCTAGAGCACGGTGGCGTCAGCCTCGCTCACGGCAGCCTCCACCTCCTGGGGTCTCCAGAGATCCTCCCACCTCGGCCTCCCTCCCGAGTAGCTGGGACTCCAGGCATGCGCCACCACGCCCGGCTCATTTTTTCTACATATTTTTAATCATCCAAATAAATTACTTTGTTTGTATTTTTAGTAGAGACAGGGCCTCGCTCTTGCTCGGGCTGGCCTCGACCTCCCAGCCTCGAGCGATCCTCCCTCCTCGGCCTCCCGGAGTGCCAGGACGACAGGCGCGAGCCTTCGCGCCCGGCCTCCGTTCGGAGCTCTGACGGGGCCTTCTCTCGTGCCCTTCTGCCCCTGCGCCAGGTGGCCATCCTGCTGTACCTGGCGGAGGTGCTCGTGCGGGTGACCTGGCGGCACGCCCTGGACCCCGACAACCACTGCATCCCCTACCTCACCGCGCTGGGCGACCTGCTGGGCACCGGCCTCCTGGCTCTCTGCTTCCTCCTCGACTGGCTGCTGAGCAGCGCGCCCGGCCGGGCCGGCCTCCCGGAACGCGCGCCCGGACCCCCCTGACCGGCCCGGCCCGCCCCGGTGGCGCTGCGGAATGTTCCAGAAAGCAGCTCCTCCTTCGCGGGACCCTGTCGTGCCTGTTGAGCCCTTGCCTCTGCAGTAGCCTTTTGTTTTTTTTTGAGCCAGAGTCTGGCTCTGTCGCCCGGCCTGAGTGAGCGCCGTGGCGTCAGCCTCGCTCACGGCGGCCTCCAACTCCTGGCCTCCAGCGATCCTCCTGCCTCGGCCTCCCTCCGGAGTAGCTGGGGCGACAGGCACGCGCCACCACGCCCGGCTCGTTTTTTTGTATATTTTGTAGTTGTCCAGCTCATTTCTTTCTATGTTTTTAGTAGAGACGGGGTCTCGCTCTTGCTCTGGCTGGCCTCCAACTCCTGACCTCGAGCGAGCCTCCCGCCCCGGCCTCCCTCCCGAGTAGCTGGGACGACAGGCATGCGCCACCACGCCCACGAGAGAGATTGGAGGTTGTGGGACGTGGTTGCACTGGAGGGTTGGCCTTGGTGGGTGTGTTCTCCCTTGAGCACAGGGCCCCCCCCGCTTTGGGGGGCCTGAGTAGGTGGGCGTGGCCTGCATTGGAGGGTGCGGCCTTAGTTGGTGGGTGTGTTCTCCCTTGGGCGTGGCCTGAGTAGGTGGGCGTGGCGTTAGTTGGTGGGCGTGTTCTCCCTTGAGGGGCGTGGCCTGAGTAGGTGGGCGTGGCCTGCATTGGAAGTGGTGGCACTTGTGGGTTTGTGTTCTCCCTTTGCGCGTGCCCGTGAGTTAGGTGGCGTGGCCTGCAATTGAGGGTGTGTGCCTCAGTTGGGTGGGTTCTC